TTCTTTGTAAAAACTTCAATTGAATTTCAATAAAGTTAAAGGCATGGCCTTACCATTAATATTTAAAAAAAAAAAAAGATATATAAATATAATTATTAGTATTATATAAAATTGTTTTAGTATATTAGTTTGGTCCTCTAATATTAAAAAAGTTTATAGATAATTAGTTTAATATATTTTGGTTTATAGGATATTGTTTAATATTAGATAATTCAAATTTATTTTGCTAATTTTGTTTAATATTGTTTTTGCAATTATGTAGAATATTTACTCTTGTTGATTATCTTACTTTGATATATAGTAATAATACTTTTAACAATTATATTCTTTTATTTATTAAAAATACTTAATAGTATTAATAGTATAATAAAAATTTTATAATTTTAAAATATATTAGTTGGTATTTAATAAGAATTATTATAATTATATTTTTAATAATAAATTTGATATTGTTGATATTAGTTTACATTATACTTAGTATTCATTAGTTTTAAAATAAACAATATAACTTTGATAATTTTTTTTAATTTTAATAGTCAACTAATACTTTATTAAAATTCTTAAAACTATATAAATTATATAAAATTTTCTAATATACTAGTCTAGCATTATACAACTATTCAAATAGTATATAGATATGATCTACTGCATTATTCTTGTTAAAAATAGACTGCTCATCTGATTGCTATCTTATAATAGAACATTATCAATTTGATAACATCTTTTTATAAGAAAACAAAAAACAAAAAAAAAATTTATATAAAAAACAAAAAAATATAAGAATAAATAATAAAAGATACAATTAAGAAATAAAAAAAAAAAGTGATAAATGAAAAAAAAAATACATGAAACTTGAAATTTATAAGTATCAGACAGTTATAATTATAAGCCTGTATTGGATTTTTTAAAAATTAAAAACTATACTAAATAGAAATAAGTTTAATATTTTTTTATTTATCTAAATTATTTAATAAAAAACTATATATAAAAAAAAGATTTTGACTTGATTATAGAGAATTGATATAGAGTACTAGTTAGTTTAAAGACATTATTAACAAAATTTTAATATCTTAAGATATATATATACTTGTATTTGTATTACTATATTATTTTTGATCTATGTTGTTAATAAACCTATTTAAAAAATAAACACTGCTGACTGTTTTGATGATTTTATATGTCAATCTTTAGAAGAGATAAATTGAATCATCTACTTTTTACAAAATTTTTTTCAAAAAAAATAAAGTCAAAAAATGAACCAGCTTTTTAGCTTTTATGAGTTCTTGGAACTTTTAAATATTTTTGTAAGTTTTATAGTTATATAAACTAATATATCCAACTTTGTTGTTTACTTAATAAAAACCTTTGACTTTTACTAACTATTTTTTTTATAGTTTTAGAGTGCTTTTAAACTATTATTACAACGCTGTAATTTTTTTTAACTCTATTTCAATATTCAACTATATATATACAGTACTCCAAAAAGATTTTCATAAAGTTTAATATAATAACTATATTATTTTTTGTAGTTCAACTTTTTAAAAAGTTTTGCTCAATATTATTAAAAAAAGCTTTTCAAATTGTAATAAATTTTATTTAAATTTGACAATTTGTATTAGTATATTTTTTAGAATTATAATTATAAAGTATTAGTTTAAATAATAGTTTATTAAAAAAGAATTTAATTTTGAAGACTTAAATTATAGTTAAAAGAATAAATATATCTAACAATAAATTTGTTATTAAAGTTTATAAAGTTATAAAATATTTTTTAATTGTATTCTATATATTTATTTAATTTTAAGAATGTTATATAATTATATAGTAGTATTATTAATATATTAGATAAACTTTTTAGATATATACTTAATATATGTATTTTGTTAGTTAATAGTAAATATATTTTATTTTATTGTAATATATTTTATATTAAAATAATATATAATAACATTAAGTATAATAATAATATCTAATATTTCATTCTATTAAAATTAAAATTGTTGAGATCTCTGTTCTATAATTACTTTCAGTATTAATTAACTAAATTAAAAAGAGGTTTTATAAGTCTAAACATTATATCAAGATAAAATACTTAAAATTAATACTATATTTTAAATAAATTGGTTTTGATTAATATATATATTTATGTTTATATTTTTATAAGTACTAAGTATAATATATATTAATACTATATATAATGCTTTGTTGACACTTAATTAACTACAATTATTAAAATAGAATTGAATCTTAAATAAGTCAGTTTTCTAATATATTAAACTAATTTCAGTTGAATTTAGTTAATAAATAAATAGTTTAATGTTAATTGTTTAGATTTTTGATATTTTTTAATAGAGACTATAAAATAAAATTATATTGATTATATTTGTAAAAGTTCATTGTTAAGATTTAATAAATAATTTGTTAATAAACTGAGATATGAGTAAATGTTTAACTTAATGTATCTTATTTTGTATTTTGAATCTATTCTAACTTGTCTTAAATATATTGTAAAATAGATGAAAAAATACTTTGTTTTTTGTAACTATATCTTATTAAAATTATATTCAGGTCAAGTTTGTAGTGTTATGTTGTTCAAATTTATTACTCAGTAGTATTTAGTAATTGAGATCATTCTTGACATCAATAATTTTTTAATTTTTTAATTTTTCAATCTAAAAATTATTTAAATTTTTTATATTAAATCAGTATCTAACAACTTATCTAAAAAATATAATTCATCTCAACTAATAATTTGCATGCCAATAATATTATTATTTATGTAATATTTTGTCAACTTAATAAAGTCTTCTCTTTGAAACTTTTTAAAATCCTTTAATAATAAATATAACTTATTAAAATTAAAATATATAATCAAATTATGTTATTAAATCCAAAATTTCTTAAATTTGTTAGTTTCAAAATATTTATAATCCATAAATATTTTGCATTCTAATAAAGTTTTATCCTTTTTGAATATGATATTCCATATAATTTATATCTGAAAATAAATTTTCTTAGTTCAAAATATCCATAATTAATAAAAACTTTTAATAATTCATTATTAGGGTTATTGCAATCCAATGATCTTTAATTTTTTAATTAATTTGTTAGGTAACTTTATATCTTCTTTTTCAAAAACTAATTCCTATTGTAAATACTGAATTTCAAAATAAATATGATTAAGAGGTTTATTAACTAATTGATTCGAAATAAGTTGTTAATGCTTAGAGCTAATTGCAGATGTCTTAATATTGTGTTTTAATAAAGAGTTTTTAGTGCTTTAATAGATGTTAAATTTACATGAAAATCTTTAGTATTGTAGTTTATCAGATTAATTTTAATTTTAAAATGAGTTTCAAATTTTTGTACAGGACTTATCCTCCGCTTATAAATAGTTAAACCATGGTTTAACATATTATTTATCACTAAAGATTGCATCTTAATAAACTATAAATAGGTAAAGAAAATTAATTATTAATATGCTATATAAGTTTAGTTCAAGGAACCAAATTGTTAAATAATACACATCACTCTGGTTATATCAACACTCTCCAAAAACTAAGTACCTCGCACAAAGTAAAACTTACAGGAGAGAACGCTGATATTATACAACTAATCCGACACCTGGTGTGCAACACATAAAATAATTATTTTACAATGCCAGACCATTCTGCTAGACATGTTTCCAACACCTGTTTTAGTATAATGAAACTGGTGTAGGATTATAATCATAACATGTACTAACGGAATGGTCTGATATTGTAAAATAATTATTTTATGTGTTGCATACCAGGTGTCAAATTAGTTGTATAACATCAACTGTCTCTACTGTTCGAAAAGTAGAGACCGTTAATGTATCCATCACAATTGAACCCAACATAAATAATTTAATTTATGATTGATCACAAGAGAAAGGGATTCACTTTGGATCGGGCACTGTCTCTGCTGTTGCTGTTGGTAAAACTAGCATACACTCCACCAATTATATGGCTTGCATGAAGCGCGTGGTGATCTCATCCAAGGCCAAATTTTGAATTCATCGGATTATTATTTGGTGATAGCTCTAAGCTTTTTTATATATACAGTATATATATTTGATAAATCACTAACCACTAGGATTTTCTATTTACATGTGATGCGATTCGCTCAAAGATGATATCATCTTTTATGAGGTACATCTATAAGCCATATATTGATATAACCTCAGTGATGTGTTATCTAGAGATAAGAATTATTGTAACTTACTTCTTCAATTCGTCATCGTTCAAATATTCTTGTCCAACAATGCTAAACATATCTGAGAATGGATTTAGATCTTCTACACAAGCCCAGTATTCCTTGATAATTTGATCAAACCATCTTTTATACTCGCAGTGTCATCATATTCTAGATAACCATGGATCTGCGTTACATATTTGGTAAACTTTTTGATTTTCACCAAGAATTTTTAAACTTTTTTAGATTACCAGTTTCTTAATAGTTACGCATGTTTGCTCTATCACCATTTCTTATTCTTAAAAAAAAAATAAAAAAAATCGGGAAGCCTTGCATCAATTTATATTGAGCTTACTGAGTTACACGAATTTTGGTATTTTTAATCCGCTTGATCACACGATATACAAAAGGAAAATATTTATTAAATGGACCATGCTTGTGACCGTATGATGTGACACCAATTGCAGTTTCGGATTTATTTTTCCTTGTCAAGCAAATTGAAATATTAATAGAAAATCCTGGCTAAAGTTGATAACGATTATAACATTCCGTTTGATTATTAATTTGAATAAAAATGAGAAGTGATGAATACCTTGATAATAACAATGAAAAACATAAATTCATTTCACATGAAGAAAACGTTCTCATTAAAATTCAAGACACATCCAAAACACAAAACCAACATATTCTAAGAAAATATGTTAACGATGATGACGCAAGTATAGATTTATCTGAATTATCGAAATTGACAACTAGTATAGACTGTATCTTAAATAGCAAACAATCATCTTGTTTCAATTTAACCACCAAATTTAAAGGATATTTATTTGATAATAATTATATTAAGAGTGCTTTTAAACAAGCATTCACAATTCACATTGACAAGATTGAATCAAAAATTCAAATAAATAATATTATTGAAAAAGTGGAAAAATGTGATAACAAATTAGAAGCTTTATTCAAACGAAACCTTATGTCCTGCAAAAATATTTCGAACATCTTGCCTTGTCTTTCTGTTTTTCTTGGAGTACCGTTGCATAATTCCCACAGAATTTTTAATCATATAGCAACCACAAAATGTTCATATAGAATATGGGAAAAAGAAGAGCTTATCATTTCAAAACAAAGTATCAATCCTACAAATGATTTCATTGCAGAAGTTAAAAGGGCATTAAAATGTGAAAATAAAGAGACACAACTTCGTAGAGTAGCAGAAAAATATGGTACCTTTTACGCACGTCGTCTTGTCTTCGGAGGGGCTGTAATTAAGGAAACATTTAGTGAAGGATTCATAAGTAAATTAATTGTAAATTGCATTCTTACTTTATCGAATAATTCGATTGAAATTTATTTTTGATTGCAGATACTAATGACAATCAAGTTCGAATCATCGGTGGAATTAAAGAAAATAATGGGTTTTCTTTAAAATCTTGGATTAGATCTCTTGACAATCGTGATGTTTGGGAAATTATTGAATATGATGAAATCTATTCAATTTTTGATTTATTGGATGATAATTTACAGAAAGAAATCTTTGATGCTCTTGGTCACCGCATTTTAAAAGGTAATAATAATTTGCATAATAATGAAGTACGATATAATAACTATTGATTCATTTAAAAATATGCATATTTTATAGCGGGTATCAATGATATTCCATCAAATTGGGATTTTTCAAAGAATGTAACATATGTTCATTCACTAGCCATGCAATTTGCGGACTTAGACAAACTCATAAAGATAAATGATTGTTATATTTTTGCTTCAATTATTGACAAGAATGATAGAGATAGTTTTTCTTTACGAATAGGTTATATGAATGAGCATATTCCTTTAATCATAGTTCATCTTAAAAAGCCTCTACACAAAAAATACAAAAATTCTCAAATAAGAGTCGGATGGGTTATTGTTGGCCAGCCTATCAATTTTGATTTTGATCAAACAAATTATCCAGTGATACTTGAAAGTGGTGAACCTCCTATATCTCAAATAGAATTTTCCAAAGATGGAAATTTGAATACCTGCGTGCTTGGGATACCAGAAATTAATTCTAACTGCTTAACGGACTTGTCTGTTTATGATATAAAAGATATAAATCAATTAGTGGATGATGAAAAGGTTTTACAGAGAACAGCTTTATTCTGCTGGTAACGTTTTAAATTTCTATCCAATTTTTATTTTCTCATTTCCCACATATTTATTAATTGATCTTACAGTTTTGACAATATAGACAAATCATATCAAACATGTGAATTTGAACAAATAATTATTAACTGGCAGCAAGAGCAAAATATGATTCAATCTGATGCATCTGGCTATCAAAATTTTAGTATATTTTCTATAAATGACAGAAAATTGTTTTGCTTTTTTCTACATTAAATTTACAATCTTATATATCATTAGATAACTTTTAGCCATTCTCATGGATATCTTTCTAATAAATTTATAAATTATCTTTTAAATCCGAATTTCTTATCCAGTATTTAAATAATGCAAAATTGAAAGAATATTTACATTTAGTAAAAGCTTACGACTTCGACGCCTGCTGAGACCCGAATGAAGAACGACTTGTAAAGCCACAAGGCAGTAGATCAGCTGCTCTCATTGACGATGTATAAATATAATCGTTGCTTCTCAAAGTAGCAATATGCCCAAATAGAGAATAAGCTAATTTTTCTTTAATAACGCAACAAGCCAGAGGTCTCCATATTGGTTTCCAGACGAACAACAGTATCTTTATATAGAAATGAATCACTGTATAACTTTAAATACATATTTGGATCTTAGATAGCGTCTCACAAAAACTTGCTCACCTCCTGTAATTTTGACCAATCAACAAACTTGTTTCGGTTTTAAGCAAAAAAATTGCATGTAAAATTAAATCTAAGAAAAACGCGTTATTGTTAGGGTTATGATTGGAACAATATGGCAGAATTACACGAAAAACAATTTTATTTAGGCCGCAGAAGATGGTTTCCTTAGAGCTATTCCTGTTCTTTTTGTAAAAAGTGGACGAAAAGCAGAGGTACGACTGGTGATGTTTTGGAAAGATGCCAGAAATAAATTCAATTAAAGGACTTTAAAGTCCACAGTAGGGATGGACTCGGTCGGTTATTACCGGCTAGCCGCTCATAGCCGGCTAGCCGCGGCTATAGCCGATCAATTATTTAATTATTTCATCAAATATTCAATTAAGTGACAAACCAATTGTATCAATTGTATGTTGGTTTAATAATCATATCCGGGGATCCGCATTATCTGATAAATAGAAAAACCCATCGGTTATAATTTTGGCCAAATTTGCAGATCATTTGACCAGATCTAAAACAAAACAATATC